ATAATTAACTGATTAACGGTGCGTGAAAGTGACAAGGCTTTCATTTCTTCGAGATAGATGGGAGAAAACGGTTCTGTAATAGTCAGACAAACTTGAAATAAAGCGTTTTCAGCTCCCCTTTGTGTATGTGTTTTGTTTATGTATCCGAGCTTTAGCGCTAAATAAGATATAGGAAGCCGTTTCTCGCGTTGTTAGGTGATTGCTTCTCTTATTCCTATTTCACTAATAGGAGGTCTGAAAACCGAGCTCAAGTTACTTCATGGGCAAGCCTAGGCAAGACTATTGTTCCTATTGAAGTAGAGAGACGCTCATTAGTAAACCTATCCACTTCAATATATATGGAGGAACGCATTTTTACCCAGCCAGCTAGACACTGACTAGGCACATAATTAATACGCAGGAAGGCAGTGACTAGGCACTTAATTAGCATGGAGGAAGGCACTTTTTCCCCAGGTTATAAAAATGGGTGACGTCATTGACTAGACCTAGCTAGACCTTGCTAGACACCAACGGGTTTAATTTCCAACATAGTAGCCACTCGCGTGCTTCTTCGGAAACGATAGATCTTCGCACTCTTGAGTTCGGACCCGATTAATTACGAAGTCCGTCTACTACGAGTGAACGAGTGACTCATTTGCAAAACCCCGTCCCTGCAATAACTCGTGGTACGCTCGCGCGTACCCACGAGTTAAAAAGGAATGACCAAAGAGGATGTTTTTAGTTACACAAATTTCGTTGAAGCTCATTCTTAAGGAAAACAAGTTCCCTGTGAAATCGTCTAAATATTAAGGCGGCTTGCGAGATCACTAAGCACAGAAGGAAAAAAGAGGAGGTAAAAAATTCACCTACTGATTGAGATGGAAAGATTTCAAATCTGTGTAGGAAATCTTTCAGCGCTAGCAAATGTGTTAATTATAAAGCTTACAATTATTACAAGATAAATTGCAAATAAAGAAGATAAGATATATTATATAGTACACAGCATCAGTAGGGTGCTTGTCGTAGTTTAATGACGTTAATACTATCATGTCTCTTTGGTCAGAAAGCCATACGCCCAGCCGTGCATAGAAAAGCAAGGGAATCCAAGACATGAAATCTTTCAAGAATCCTTTGACTGCCAATAGCGCATTAAAACTCACCTGACTAAAATAACCTTTTTGTGCTTCGAATCATCGTACGCCGTTAAACCGTTTCTAAGGTTCTAATTGGAAAATTCTACGATAATAAAGAATAAAGAATAGATAAGGCCAGTTTCCGTGCGGGGAAAGTTTTAGAAGGTCCTAGAACAGTTCTGCCATTTACTTCCTTCTCAGCTAGCACTCACTTTATAGAGCAATATCAAACTTTCTTATAAGTGGCATTGTTTCACTTAAACAAACGTTTTGACGTAAGCAAACCTGCAGTTGTCTTTCCTTAGGGCGAATCTTCTAAATAATAATAAAATATATAATTACATATAATTGCATATATTTAATAAGGATAAGGCTGTCGGGCAAAACAGGAAAACCCGGATAACTCTCGTCGAATAATAATTTATGTGAACTTAACATTAGGACAAGGTATTTTTTGGGGAAAAAATGGAAATTCCAGCAACCCAAGATTTCCTTTTCATATTTCACCAAGTTTGTGATAAAGTAATCAAGGTTTCTGTTTTCACCTGTTTCTTAGCGACAGCAGTTACTATAAAAATAATAATAATAAAAAACTCTCTTTTGTCGCACGAAAATTACGTACCACTAATCAAGTTCAAGTTCAAGTTCATTTCGCGCTATTCAAGTTGAATACAGTATAGGATGGCTTCCAGAATCAGTAGGTTAACAAATGATGAAAAGTAAATATAATATACAGGTTTGTTGATATGTGCACAGTGACCAAAGTAGCCGAAGCTTTCGTGTTGGTCACTGTCGATTCTACTCAGATTTCACTCAGCTCGTGATCATTGCTCAAACTTTTAAAATTTCAGTGGCACATACTGGCATTAATATAGATTTAGGAAAGTTCAACTTTCTTTTTCAATGGGGATAAGAGCCGAAGGGGAGGAGGGCGGGTTGGAGAGGTAACCCGGTCACGGCCCTTTACACTTACAGATCAGTTACACAGTGACAATGGGCCATTTGCTCAATGACGTTATTCTACTTACTAGCACTTAAACCAAGTACCACCACTTTCTTAAGTTTCGATTTCTAGACTAATGCCATATTCCTAAGTTACAGCAAGAGCCATAACCATTATATGGCTCTTGATTACAAAAAACGAGAAGGGGTTAAAAGAGCAGATGAAACCGTGCCATGAATACGGGAAGTTGATAACAGGGAAGTATAAATTATTCCGGAGCTTCTTTCGTTATAACATCTAAAATTTCGATTTTAGTGATTGAGCTGAAATAAAAGCAAAATATAGTACGCTGTTGTACTTGCAATGCAAATTAGCAAATTATAAAAAGAGTATATCATTCAGGCTACTTTAGCTGTTGTCTTCCTGGGTCCCTGATTCCTGAATGTTCAAAAGATGGATAACGCTATCCACAGGATAAATTCGTCTATCCAGTGGATCACGCAAGTGTTTTTCCTAATATATACTTATCTGCTGGATAGTGGCTTAGTCGTTGGAAAACGCTCCCTAATGTTTGAACAACAGGGACCTGGATGTCTAAATTTACATTATCAGATTTAATGTACAAAATATACAAACGGACTGAAGAGACGCTTTCGAAATTTTGTAATAGAATAAATCCTTATTTCTCCGTAAAACGTTTTTCTGTGCAGCTAATGCGGATACTTTATGAAATCTTCTAACTACCAGAAAAACATCCCAAGCTACAAAGAATCTACAGATAGACTGAGAAAAAAGAAAAAGATGACATAACAAAGAATTAAAGACAAAATAAATAAATAAATAAATAAATAACCAAACAAAGAATCAAAGAGTAAGAAAAAGAAGTCCCCTGAGAGAACTATGCTCTTTTCGCCTACAAGAAAAAGGCTGGTGCAAGAACAAACCGATTCAGTTCATCCGGTCCACATCAGCTACGCATCCTGTTATGTTTGCACGCTCAGAGGAATAACAGGAATTGCTTAAAGAAAATTAAGAACCTCGACTGAAACTGATATTAAAGTTAGTGTTCCTGTTTTGCTATGTGCAGTTTTTTCTGTTTCGCTTTGTTTCACATGTCATGATGATTGTGTGGATTTCCAGTACCGCTTCAGTCCTACACGTCACAAGTAACTGGGGGAAAAGTTTACCACTCAATTTCATTTTTACTCATGTCTGCATTAAACATTGTTTTCGTTAAAAAACAAAAAACAAAAACAAAAATCTGAATACTATTTAGTCTACCACTTTACTTTTTCTTGTAAGAGATTAAAACTATTAACACATTGTCACGAGGCATTCAGTTTATAACCTTGAGTGACGAATGAATGCAACGTTGCCGAAAATTCAGATAATGTTCCTGTTTGGCTGAGGAAGCTAATAACAATCTCTAAGATCATAGTTCGCCACGTAAAGGAAATACAAAAAGAATACAAAAGGAATACAATAAAAAAGGAATGCAAGTGTCAGACAAAGTTGGGCTAACCTTTCAAATCCGATGTCTATAGAATACTTAGAATAAGGCGAAAAATGACGGGAGATCCGAAACTTGTGACAGTGTTGACTTGGATCAGTAAAGATCTTGTATCCGACTGGTTGATGATGACCGCTGTTATTTGTAATAAAGCAGTATCATGTACTTTTGTAAAAATAACAAAGCAAAAACAATAGTATCTAGAAATGCCCGCCGTGTATTGATTTCAGTCTGGGGGTTAATTTTCTGTCTGTACAACAAAATAGGTGTACATAATGTAACTGGGCTCTGTACCCGTTTGAAAGAAAACGACTTTCCCACGATTAATGGTTATGCCCGCACCTTCGGGTTCGCCGCGCGTAGCCGTGAACAACCAGGAATTAGATAAATAGAGGATATTACACGGTGGCGCGAAGATATGAATTTTATTTTCGAGTGGCAAAACAATATTTTACTCACTCGCTGCGCTCGTTCGTAAAATATTGTTTTTGCCACGAGAAAATAAAATTCATATCTTCAAGCCGCCGCGTAATGTTCTTTTTGTTATATAGACAAAACGACGTCGATAAGATAATAGATTTTTATTCGCCAAAAGGTAAATGTGACGGCTCAAATTTACAGTACAGCAAGACGAGACATTGGTTACAATAATCTTAAGAAACAACACTGAGCTAAATAGGGCTTTACAATGACAAAATATAAGAAAAGCTTTGAAAAATATGTAAGTAAAACTCAAAAGACGCAAGACGCCTACAAATTTCGAAGGGAAATTACCGAAACTACGTCATCGATAAACTCACGAGTAAGATTATTGAAAATAAACCACTCGGGTCCCGGATGTAGTTTTTATGAATTTTACGAGTGGTATATTTTCCAGTAAAACACTCGTGTCTATGTAATAAGAAGAGATATCCCACTAGCAACCAAAGGTAATATATGGCTTATCTATTCCAAAAAATTAGTAGCTCGCGGCAACGTGCTTTCTTTAATATTATTTTGCGTTTGAAAGAATGATCGTTCGTTGGACAAAAACTTAAAAATGGGCTTCAATGTTACAACTTGAGGTAAAATGTGGATATATGCTACCCCTCGGAGAGTAAATTTTTACAACCTTAGTTGTATCCAAGCTTTCAGCCATGCCTTTGTACTCTTGAGCTCCACAGCCTCTTACCCATCAGTGATTGTTTTTACGCTTATTTTCATTCAATTCGTTTTCACTGGGTTTTGTGCTTTCGTCTTATTCTACATATAGGTAGTTATTATTAGCATTTATCTCATTTTTTGTGATTATTGGTGTGATTATAAACCCAAACCAGAAGGCTCAGGAACTGTGAACTGCACTGTATACTGTAAGATCAGAGCACTGAAAGCACGCATAATAACCACTGAGAGGTACCCTGCAAGGACAACATGGCTATATTCTTCAGTTCCCTAGCTGTTACCCTGCGAACTGAAGCACGTTTCAGCTGCGAGTACTGAGGCAAAGAAACACCACCACGGAAGTTGCTTTCTCTATAAAAGCACAGCCGCTTTCTTTGGCGTGTTCATAAAGTAAACGTTGGAAGATCGCTATCCAGTTAAAAAATGTCAAGATTTATCCTTCAAATTGCCGCAATGGTGTGCCTGCTTATTTTCCTCAGCGGGAAATGTTTGGCATCCGTACGACTAACCGTAGTGGGCACTTTACCACCAAATCCTGACGATCCCTACTACCAGAGTAAGATTTCTTTTAAGTTCATTATAGATATGGGGAGTCAAATTTTGGGAGTTGTGTACGTATAGCCGCGTCGCCACCGAACGAAAAGGAAAAGAAAAGACAAAGAAAAGAAGAAAAAAAAAAAAAAAGCCTGCGCCAGCGCGCCCTGTTTTCATTTGGTCAAGCTATTTCATTGCATTTAAAGAACTCTCGTCGACGAGTAAGCTTATGTTATGTACATGTAGCTCGATTTTCGTTCATATCTTAAGGCTAACAAACCAAATCGCTTTCAGGCATTTGCTGTCAACCTTTGGAGGTTTTTCAATTTTTTCCGTAGACAATAAGACATCAACACCTGACGTTTTTAATAGCAGCCTGTTTATCCCTCGCGGGCATTTTGAGACAAGTTAAGTGATGGTCAGTTTCTGTGGTTACGAGATATGACGTCACTAGTAGCAGGTGGTCAAATCATTTTTTAATGATACAAAGTGCTTCTTTCTGTGCTATTTTACATATCGACAAAAATAGTTACCATTTATTTCGATTTTAACCTGATTTCTTTTCCTGGGAAAATCCAAGATGGCGATCATCATTGGTGACGTCACTGGCCTCCAGCAGCGCCATCACCTGTAAAATATACCTCATCTTGTTGAGAATACCAAAGGCTTTCCTCTAAAGGAAAAATCCTTTCGAAACCGTAACTGCAACATATCAAAAATTCTGGGGAGGGGTTCTATTAACCCAGGCCCCTTCTGCCACGGTGGGGGTATGAATTTGCATGTACGTCCGAAGGTTAAAAGTACTTTTGCGTTCGAAATTCATTGCAAAAAGGGCAGCTAAGGCGTAAATACTGAAATGAAGACTTAGCCAAGTGTAACTGAACTATCACATCCTATACTACTAGTAATGCATAAAAAATCATTATAATTTTAAAATTTCATTCGCAGCGTTTCAAACGGTTCCTCCGGCAAACAAAACTGCAACAAAGCTCCTGACTGCCTTTTTGCGCATCCCTGGGAAACTTTCACTTCCGCGCCACAAAGGAATTTCTTTTGAAGATATTGTGGTTGTTCTGGATGGTTCCGGGTCGATTGGTAGATGTGAATTTGGAAAAGGAAAGAAAGCTCTTAAACACATGATGAAATTGGCAGAGAACACTCGGAACGTAGATACAAAGTACGCTGCAGTTTCTTATTCCAATGACGCCGTAGTTGACTTCACGTTTTTGCCATACTCTACGGCGGCGAATGACATAATGCAGATTCGTTATGTAGGTGGGGGTACCAACACTCAGGATGGACTTGAGAAGGCAAAAAGACTGCTCGAGGACTGTGCGTCAGGTATATATTTTAGAATTGTCTTATTAGTAGGAAAGAATTAAAATGCAACTCTGGTCAATACAAATCATTATGTATCCGTTCTTAACTAGTGACCTGAACCGAGTAAAGAAACGATCCGTGGTTTACGGGATATGAGGATTTACCTGACAGTACGAAAAATAATTGGTCCTGATCATCAAGATACATAAAAGGGCTTTTATTACTTTTGGATACCCCTTTAGTAAACGGTTGAGATATAAAGAGCTAATTCTTACAGAGATGAGTCGAAAAGTGACAGTTGGATGCTGATGGTCATTTAGAGAGCAACAGAAGCTCGGCTCAAGTTATCTGAGCTATTTAATTTACCATGAGGTTACATTCATTGTGAATACTGCAGGGGGTGGGGGAGGAGAAAATACTGAAATTGAGATTCCCCATCTTGTCTAAAAGAAAAACAACAAGAACTACCTCCACTCAGGCCTCCCTCCCTTACACACGAAAGTAGAATCCGCTTTTATCCGCCACCTATTACCTTTCGTAAGCGGTGGATATCACCATTGGTAACCAAGCCAATGTTATTATAGACGTCATATATTCCCTGGATTAAGTTACGATACGGCAAATAATACGTTTTTGAACCACCTTAAAGCAAAGTTGAATTTACGTTAAAAGTTATGGTAGGGGCTAGAGTCACCAGTTATTGATGTAACAGTTACGAAAGAAAGTTTGCTAGTTTATTGTACTTTAATTTTTCGGAATTTTGGTGGGTCGGTGTGGTGGTGTTGTGGTAACGGAGAGAGATTAGGATAGAACATCTTCGGAGACCCAGGGGCAGATAGTGGGGGCGAGGGAAAGTCTAAACAGGGCGGAAAAATAAGCACGAAGAAAAGTAAATAACGGCGAGAAGAGCCCCTGGGGACAATGTCTTGCCAGACCAGTTCCAAACGGTCGCCGCCGTTCTGGCTTCTGATTGGTGCCAGAAAAACACAAGTTTTCTGGCACCAATCAGAAGCCAGAACGGCGGCGACCGTTTGGAACTGGTCTGGTAAGACATTGTCCCCAGGGGCTCTTCTGGTAGTTCTTTACTTTACTTTTGTGCCATATTTTTCCGCCCGTTTAGACTTTCCCTCGCCTCCACTATCTGCCCCTGGGTCTCCGAGGATGAGGATAGAAGGGTAAGGGTTCGAGCCCACGGGGTGTTACTTCCTTATAAGAGGATAATGGGCATGAGCCACTGGATGGGATCGCGCGCATTTTCACGACTGGATTGACTATAATGGGGTGACATTTTCAATAGATCCACTGGAATGGGGTCGCGCATTCTCTGATTTTTGGGGTGAGACGTACGGCTTGGACTCGGAAATAATATTATATGGGTCTTCTGCCTGGAGTTGTGTCATACTGAGCTTATCAATACTGGTGCAAAAACTTAATCTTTTAAGAAGCTATTAAAAACAATGGTACCCCCCACCCCCTTCCGTCCTTCAGAAGTTTTTTTGTTTTCATTGCCCGGTCAAAAATTAAGGTCCCCTCAAGATCATCTTCCCCCGTGGTATGCTAAACAAATTTAGGCTCATTCAAGTAAAAATTACATCGAACGGCTATATAACCATAAAATTTGAGTGAATAGCATAGAGTATTGAAACCCGGCTATAATTTTCTGTCAGTAGATTTCTGGCGGTCGAGCGCTCAGTTTCCTCCTCGCATCTACCATCTCTGATTTTAAAGGACTTGATTTGGAAAGGAAAAGATAGGTGGGGTGGGAGGTATAAAAACGTAAAGGAGAAGGGAAGGGGGAAATACTCGTGCAAAACATTCAGATATTCTTTTATTCCCAGTTGCTTCCAAATGTTGTTGCTACTTATAAACAAATAGTTTTTCTTCACCTCTAAAAGGACGCCGTGTTATTTCAAGAAAGATGGTCCTTCTTGTCACCGATGGCCGATCGAACTCTCCCCACCTGACTATAAGTAAAGCTAAAGCCCTAAAAGGCATTGGCATAGACATTTACGTTGTTGCTGTTGGAAGTTACATTATTGGCATAGACGAGATGGTGAAGGTTGCCTCCTCTCCGCCGGAGAATCACATGTTCAGAGTCCAAACACTCAGCGATTTTTGGCAGGTCGTCAAATTGGCTATCAGACAAGTCAACCCCGGAGAATACGCCGTCTTAAACGGCCAATATGATCCTCCTTGCTAAGGTTTTTAGTGTCCAAAATGTCGTAGTGTTGTAAGGAGAAATTTCTCATCAATTTTGTTTATTTGCGTCAAATTTTATATCCGTAGCTTTTAAATATTCCCTTTGAAGTTGTTTTGGCCAAAATTTACATTGAATTTGGATTGGGATGTTTTAGTTCTTTCAAATTATACACATTTTACTTCAATGTACACTTTTAAAAGGATAATTTGTTTCTGAATAATTACAGTTGAACCTCTCTACAACGGCCACCTTAGGGACAGAAAAAAGTGGCAGGAGTGCTGAATTTTTGTAAGCTTCCGAAATTCATTTGCTTGACTCACATTAAATTTTGAGTCGTTTAGTTTAGCATGTGAACGTTAAAGCTGATTTTATCCAGGTTTGTTGTCAGTTTTCGGCTGATTTCATTCGGCGTTCTTTCCATTTGTTTTGTGATGCTGTAATAAGTTGATCGGTTAGTATACATAGAGACTGTTATCCCTGATTTTTTTATTTACTGCATGCTTGTATGATTTACATTTATGATTTACGTCCATGAGCTGAAGATTAAACTGTTGAAATCCAAGTTTAAGTGCTGTCCTGTTTTCAGTTGTAGCAAATCCTCAGTACCGCATGGAACAGCGACGAGTTCCAGTCAAGCTAGCCAAGCGAGTTGCAGAGTTAGTTTTCTCCCTTATTATTAATACGCCATATTGTTTTCCCCCATTTGTGCTTGGAAGGGCAAAACCTATCGTCAGAGGGTACTTGGCGTGCGTGCAATTATTAGAAACTGTAGATTAAGCCATAAAAGGTGCGAAATCCCAGAAAAATCACTTAGCTTCCTCCGGAGTTGCTCTAACAAATCTCCAAAAATCCAAAAGCTACAGTTCTCAACGATTTCTGTAATATAAATCATATCCCTTAATTTTTCTTACTGTTTACTAAAGGTATCGGGTAGAAGACCATAAACATCAGAAACAGTTAATGGGGAGAAACCAATGAATCGAAAGGAAACAAGAGCGGCATCGTTAATAGAATATTTACAGTGGTTGTACTCTTTGACCTTTCCCTTGCAATGACGGCGAGGCCGGGAGTGCCTTTTTTTTTATACAAACCCATTTTTCATTTCTTGTGGAGATGAAGCTAAAAAATGCTAGTTAGCATAAAGCAACCGGCGTCTAGCTTAAGATTAAAAACAGAAACCAGGGAGAACTGATGTCAACATGATTAACATCAGAAAGCAGGAACGTTTGTAACAAAATGAGGTCAACTTCAGCCTTTTTTCCACTGTGTCAGCTGTAAAATGGTAGTTAACCAATTGAAAGCTCAAACTTAAACACCCAGGGTACAAGAGACATTCTTGTGTGTTTTCCGGGTTATATCTTTTGATAAGAAAAACCTTCGCTTACTTTAGGAACAGGAGAAAAATCGCAAAAAAGGGTCTCTTGAGGTAAAACAGCAAAAAATATCGATGCCTAGGAGTCGATGTTTCTATACGAAAATTTTCACCATCAAGTTGTGCAGTCTTTTACAGTTCTCTTCGTTGTTTAGAATTCTCGAATAAACCAGATTTTTTAGCACCCACGTATTGCGTATAGTATTGACCAGGTTCGGAGTGTTTGACTGCGGCGCAGATTATTGTAGCTTATAATTAACCTTAACCCTCGGACTAACACGCAAATTCATACCCCCACCTGGAACAAGGTGGGGGGGGGGGGTGGGGGTGGATGGAACCCCTCCCCAGAGTTTTTGATATGTTGCAGTATTTCGAAACGATTTTGTCATCAGTGGAAAGCCGTTGATCTTCTTAACAAGATGAGGTATATTTTATGGGTGGTGGCCGTGTGCTGGGGGCCTGTGACGTCACCAACAATGGTCGCCATCTTGAATTTTACCAATAATTAGAATCAGGTTAAAATCAGGATAAATGCAATTTGTTTGTGCTCGATATGTAAAATAACACATAAAGAAGCACCTCGCACAAAATCATTTAATTCTCGAGTTTTAGTTATATTGTTGAAATAAGTTAAATGTAATACAAATTGACCACAAATGTAATAAAACAGTCAAATACTATCCAAACTGTATATACTCTAAAGAGCGCCGCCCTCAATTTAAGTGGGACAGAAATAAGCACCGCGGTGCTCTTTCGAAAATCGAAAACAATATTCTATTGCATTTAATCGAGAGAGCGCCGCCCTCAAATCACCTTGGCATCTTAAAGTACGCAAATCAATAAGCGCCACGGCGCTTTTTTCAAAAAATAGATTATTCTACAAATGTTTCTCGTTTTTTTCGGTATTTGCGATTTTTTTTACAATTTGGTGTGCGTGCGCTGCGCTTATTTTTGTCCGATTTATATTGAGGGTGACGTTCTTTCGGGTATATACGGTTGGATAGCATTTGCCGGTTTTATTACATTTTTAGTCAATTTTTATTACATTTGTGGGCTTTATTACATTTTGGTCAATTACTGCATATTCGGACTTGCGTATGAAGCTTTATACGATGTCATTATCAAACCTTGCAACGGCTTTATAACGCGGTAGAATAGAGAATTGTGACTATCAGTCAAAATTTGGTGAATTAAGTTGCTGTAGAATTGCATTTATTTATGCTCGTAATCGATTCCGCAAACCGTCGACGTCTTAGTCTGCCATGTTTTTCATACTCGGGAAATCAATTTGTTACTGGTCCCCAGGGCACCGTCGGCCAAATAAACGAAGTCCCGGATTTGGAAGAACATAATTTGAAAGCGAATAATAGAATTGGAAACTGAATAATGCCCCGTCCACACGTATCCGGAGATTTTTGTATCCACAAATTTTTTTATGCGGATACAAAAATATCTGCGTCCACACGGAGCGTATACGAATCGTATACGACTGTCCACACGTATCCGATTCGTATCCGGACATCTCAAAGGATTAGTCAAATCTCGCGCGGGAAAAGACTGGTTCTGATACTGTGACGTCAGCGTATACAAAAATATACGGATACGAGCGTCCACACGTATCCGGATACACAGCGTATACAGAAATTTCCACTCTGGAGAGCGTATACAGAAATCTCCGGATACACCGAGCGTATACGGCGGACACGTGTGGACGCTAGGTGTATCACAGGCGGCCCAGACGTAGTATGTGTCACTGAATGAATATATTAATATCCACATGGACAAATTAATGCGACGAGTCGTCGAAACTCCTATGAACTAAAATAGTCCAAAAGTCAAAATATAACAAAACAAAGTTAAGATACCTTTAACTGAACGTATCCTTGTCTTTCCTGGCCGGTTAAAGTGGCATTTTGTTGAGTTTTGAAATTGTAGGTACTATCCACTAAAGAAGAATTAAAGGCTGGCTACAAAACAAACAGACCATCTCCACGCGCCTTCACACGAAGCGCTATAAATTCGAGAATAATCGACGAATCCGCTCCAAATAACCATCGGCTAATCTGCAGGTAACGTGTGCTCCGGTTGCTTGCTCGCTTGCTCCACAAAACCCATCGCAACTGCACAATAATCGCTCGCTCATCAACAAACACTGTTGGCCTTTACGCTTCGATATGACCGCGAACGACCAGGTTTAATACGCGACGTGAATAGTCAAGCTTAGCGACCGCGTCCGCGCGACAATGCAACACTTGCAATGGGAGGGATAGTACTATTGCTTCTAGGTCAATCAACACTGAGCGAGGGTCCGCTGCGTTAGTTTTGACCAGAAAACAAAAGGTGATCGCGCGAACGTCCGTAATGAAATAAACAGTTATTTCCAGAACACCGTCAATATGTTGTCCCAAGTGACGAGGGGGGACGACAATTTGCCGCCTAGGAAAAAGGCAAAATATAACCTCGGCTATGCAGCTGGTAAGGAAAAAAGTTATGTGCGCGATATTTTTTTTATTGGTTATGTTTATTATTATTTTGAAAACTCAGGGGCCCCCAACGACGATTTCTTCCTAAATGCATTTAAAACACTTTTAACGCTGTCCAGGGTAATTAAGATCTCTAAAAATGCATTCTAAGTGGCGCTAATACATAGATCACATTTATAGTTTGTTCATACTAAATATAAAATCGTGTAATGTTAAGCGGCGAAGGCAACCAGAACTGTAAAATACAACAATAGGTCTAATTGCAGCACGCTTTCGTACATTTCCTGGCCGTTGTTTTGCACGACTACGTGAAACGTCCAGAAACTTCGTGGTTTTCACGTTGTTAACGAAATGAGCGAAAATCTTACTCTTGAGCAAACTGAAGTGTTTCAGTTTGCCAAGAGTGGGCACAACCTCCTCGTCACCGGTCAAGCTGGAACAGGAAAGTCAAGAGTGGTTGCCGCAATTCGCGATGATTGTCAAAAGCGTGGTCTACGAGTATCCGTGATTTGTTCCAGTGGAATTGCTTGTCAGGTGTATGATGCAGGCGTCGCTTCGACAGTCCATTCTTTTTACGGTCTTGGTGCTGCAGATCTGCCGGCCGAGCTACTGATTACTCGCGCATCAAGTGATGGCAGGATGTGCGAGAGAGTACATGATGTGGACGTTATAATTTGGGACGAGGCGAGCATGTCTAGTTCAAGGATGCTTGAACTTGTTAACGCTTTGCATCACAATTTAGCCGACCAAGAAAATTATGAGTTACCCTTTGGAGGGAAACAACTCATAATCGTAGGAGAATTCCTACAGCTGCGGCCAGTGCCGAGTACCTTCGATTCCGGGGATTTTATGTTTAAATCTGCAGTATTTCAATTCGCCGTCCCACATCGTTTTCAGCTGACAAAAGTAATGCGCCAATCTGAGAGCAACAAGTTGTTCTTGGACGCTTTATCTGACGTCAGACTCGGCGTATGCTCGAACGAAACGGCTGTGTTTATTGAAAAGTTATCGAGGGAATTGAGTCCGCAAATGAAAATCGCCGCCACGCATATCTTTTTTAAAAAGAATGCGGTAATGTTGTTCAATCGGATGAAAATGGACGAACTTGAGGGAGATTTAATGCGTTTCGACGCAACATACGAAGGGGACGGTGAGAAGGTGAACTGGCCAGGCGAGAGATCACTTTTTTTGAAAAAAGAATGTAAAGTGATGCTACTTTGGAACAAGTCAGAAGACCTCAAAAATGGGAGTATGGGAACTTTCAAGAAAATGGCAGAGGGCAACAAGTTGCTGGTTTATTTCGAGAAAGTTGGCATTGTTGCTATTGAACGTGTAACGTGGTTTCAAAGGAACCATCAGGGAGAAACCATTGGCGCTGTTCATCAGTTTCCACTCACACCAGGATACGCGGTTACATGCCACAAATCGCAAGGGCTAGAACTCCCGGCCGTAGTAGTGCATTGCTCGAAAGAATTTGTCCCTGGTCTAGTTTACGTTTCCATGTCTCGTGTGAGATCAGCTACCACGCTGCAAGTCATAGGGTTCAATAGGACTCAAGTAATACCAGCAGACCACGAAGTTATAATGCAGTGTTCTCGAGTTACCGGTGAACACAGTGCCGATTTGAAGTGTTGCCGACGAAAGGTCACCAGGGACGAAAGCTTTTTTGATGTCCAAGATCGC